GGTCATCCTACAAAAGTTACATTGTACACTAACTACGTCATTAGGCATAGCAGCAGCAAAATTGAGTTGGTCACCATCTAAGAAAAGTGCAGTTTAAAACAGATCACATTTGGTACAAAGTACTGTGTAGACAACAGAACATACTCTGGTTATAACCCAAAGAGGCTGGCGAAGGATCTCCTCTGAAGCCAGAGAAAGGAAATTGAATTTGCTTTAACTAGAAAGCTGTAACAAGTAATATAAAAGAGCGATATGTAAGAAAGCAAAATGAAAAGGCAGTTCAAGGAACCAAGGACAGCTATAGGTACAATAGAAAAGCAGGACAGGTAGAGAAACAAGACTGAGGAATGAACGGTTTAAAAGGGAAAAGTGAGATGTGCAAACAAAAATCCTACAGCATTACAGAGTTCAGGCAGACATGAATATACCTCACGAAGAAGGATCACCTTGACCACTTACAATGACAGAAGCCCAGAAATCTGAGCAACAGTGCACATTTTCCACTCCCATAATAGCAGGGCTCAGCATTTTTTAAAATACAAATTGTGGAGGAAAGGAAGACACCGTAATTAAATCTTCCTTCAACCTGAATTAACAGATTAGCATTACCAGAACTGAGCATTTAAAAATCTCATTGGGAAGGGAGCAACAAGACGTAGCGATTTTCCACAGAAGGGTGTCCAGTACTGTGAGCATATTTTGACAAACAGATGTTCTCAAGTGTAAAGAAAAGGAGAACAAAATAATAGATGGTCTGAGGAAAAAGCTGATAGCCTTAGATTAGACAAAGTATCCCTGAAGCTCCTATCTCTATAGATGGACAGCATTCACCACCTCAGTTCTCTCCAATCCTCCCTAGTCATTTTTCCTTCTTTCTTCAAGTATGTTGAAGAACATTTAACCTTCATTGGAGATGAAGTTGACATGTAATCTATAGAAATTTATCTCAAAGGAAGGATTCATCTTCTGCAGCTTCTCAACCACTTTATGTTTGAATCTTACAGGCATTGGCTAACAGAGAGGTAAATAAGGTATGTTAAATGTGGTAACATATTCCAAAAATACATAATGGTAAAATATATACATGTTGAATGTCAAATTTGGCTTGTAGGATGAAGAATAATCTGAATTATTTTCTTCTCGAAGCAAAGCCCATGAGTTAAAATTGAATAGATAAACAAACAAGGTAAACATTCTTGCAAAAGGATGAATTTTTATCAAGAATTAACAGCAATGAAAAGGTACCTTTGGCAGTCTGAAGAAGACTAGACTAAATATGTGAAAGCAGAGTACTTCAAAACACAAATACAACACAACAGTTACTACCACACCTATGAAATATCTTTTCTCCAGGCAATGAAAAGAATGAAGCAACAATATTGCTTTTCCACAATCTCATTCCTGCCTTTAGGATTACTCCTTATTCCATGCCACTCTTGCTTCATTCAAAAGAAAACATATGATCTTAGAAAAATTTTCACTACTAAATGAAAATATGCAATAAAGGCTTAACCCAGGGAATGCCATATGTCACAAGTAATACTGAATATCTGCTTCCTGGTTGATTTACACAATAGAGTTCACATCAGCAGCTGTTTCACCATAATATAGATTCAAATTGACAAGACTGAGGTTTTATGGAACAGCATTTATCTCAAGATTGTCAGGCAAAGTCATTTCATTTCTTATGATTCATTTCATTTATATGGCAATGTATTAGCTGGATGCATTATTGATTGTTGCTCTGTTCAATTTCAGTTTATACAACATGGGCAAAGTGATCTGAAAATTATCGCCCGTCTTTTTTCTCCTCTTTCAAGCACAGAAGTGTCCATTGCATGGCTAGGAAAACCATTTAATTTCATTAGATATCCAATCAGAGGAATACATTCTAGAACAAGCAAGTCCTTTTGAAGACCTTACTGTGAAAGCCAGCTTCTCTAGAATCTGTACTAGAATATCTAGAACTGCTTCTAGATAGTGCTTTCTCCTCTGCTTGCCTAGAAAAAGGCAAAGATGGAAGCAACAACAACAGCCCCAGTACAGAAAAATAGATCAGTAGCCCAAGAGTAAGACTGCTTCACATCTGGGTGCAATGACCTTTCAAGCACAGAGGGCTGCTTGAAACAGACAAGCCCCAGCTGTCAATCTGCAGAACCTTGAGTCTTACGAAGACGGTATAATTTGACAGCTGTTATGAATATTTTGAATACCATGGATGTCCTGTTACTTGCATCTGACAGCCTGTAGAGTGTAATAAGGAGCCAGCAGTTAAAAAAAAAAGAAAATATAGCAAAATGAGCACAAACAGAAAGCACACTGAGACAATAATAATGTCCTCCTAACTGTAAGGAGGTAAACTGGCAGTAATGGCATACAGGTGAGCCTAGGCTGCTGTTCAATAGCATTTGAATAGGCAGTAGGATTTATAACTAAGTTCCTTCCCATTTTTAGGATGCACTGAGTTCTCAAAACCTGGATAAAAGATACTTTAAGTTTTACAATGGGGTTGCTTCAAAAGAGAGGAAGAGGAGCAAATCACAGTATTATACTAGAAACACAGTAGCTTCGATTAGGTGCCAGGAAAATCAGGATCCCACTGTATAGGCACTACATAAGGAAGAATAAAAAGGTTACTTTCTCAAGAGCTTATGGTGAAGTCTGAGAAATAGTAGGGAAATTACCCAAGTAATCCGCAAGCCAAAGGACAACATGTCACATCTCCTCCATGAGTTCCCTCCAGGCAGAGCCAGAACTCTCCCAGTAACTTTAACTTCCCACAGGAAAGAGAGGTATCTCTGATCTTTGTAATAACTGCGTCAAGAGCTGTTCACATCCTGGATTTACTGTTGTGCACTGCTGAAGAAATCTTCCTGATCTTTTGTGCTGGTGTGAAGCTATAAGAGTAGCTACCAGGCACCTAACAGTATGCTGCACGCAGGCCTTTCTGCAACACAGAAGCATTGCTAAAGTCAGCATTTTCCCTGTGGAAGGAAGCTTTTGGCAGTAACAAGTCATTTCTGATATTTAAAATGGCTGTTCTTGCATTTCACCATTTTCTGGTCATATGTGATTTTTACACAAGCAGCTATACCAATTCATCATAGTAGAATTTTCACCTTCACTCTGTAACACTCCTTTGACAGCACTTTCTAATTCTATTGTGTCCATCTTGTAATAAGCATTATTGGCCAAAAATTAACCCATTAATTGAAATGCAGACAGCAAAGCTGTTCAGGTGGGACTCAATTTCGAGTGGTAGAGACCGCCCGCAGTGAAGCAATTACAATCAAATAAAATATGCCAATATGATTTTATCTGAAATTTTTATTTAGTTGGAGTTCACTAACTGGAAATGAAGTGCCTATGCGCCATCTCATGGTCAGTGGCAGTCGGTGCGAGCCCACACACCAGGGTTCCGAGGGCAACATTTGTGTCACTGTGAACACCAACACAGGTTTTAAAGCTTCCCGAAGCTTTATTGCTGATGAAATCCTCTGTAGGCACTATTTTTCACAGAATTTCACAGAATCATGTTCAACATATATGACGTTATCACTTCAAATAGGCCACAAACCAGAACAGAATATATGTGCTTTAAAACTGCATGTGCTTTTAAGAAGCTACAGAAACCTCAGCTTAAGGTTTTTTACACTTTATAGTAAAATTGGTATGTTTGAAAACACAGCATTTTCGTTGAATTTTGGTGTTTGTCTCAAAGCAGCTCCCTTCTTTGTCCTCTTAAAAGGAATACCGTTGGTATTTAAATCCTTAGGGAAGAAATTGCAATAACATTATTTGCCAAACATCCTTGTTCTCAACTCAAAATGCTTTAGGTTGTGTCCTGTCTCCCCACCCTTTTTTTTTTTCCCCCCCAAAAAAAAAGTGTAACTGGACCTAGTTAAGCCTCAGCATGTAGTGATCCTGGGGAGATGCAGAGTACAGTTAGGAGGACAGGATATGTTGCCCACTAGAAACATCCATTTGGGGGCCTTACTGATGTGGAGCCAATTCCTTAAGACTTACACCAAATAGCCATTGTGTCTTACACGCACACAGAGAACAAAGACAGCAAGGAAATTACTATTCTTACACAGTAGGAAAACGGAGCACTTGATCTGTGGTTGCTAAGGAATACCAACAGCAATGCAGAGATCTGCCAGATGAATTCAGAAGGGATAAGCATCCAAACATTTGTACATGTAATTTTTATTTGTCTCAGTATGATGATACTGTAATTGGCTAAGCAACCAAACAAAGCCCACAGAAACCAATGGAAGTCTTTTTTTGGACTTCTCTGGGCTTTGGTCTGCGCCATGAACTGCACCACTGACAGCCTGGAAACAGAACAACAAGATTACACAACAAGTAGCTCAGATTAAATTAGTCTTTTCACAGCCAGCTCCCCACAGAGGTCTGGTGTCATTCTGTTTGGGGTTGCTTAAAGTAGTAATCAATATACCCTTTCATTTTCTTACAGATTGACAATTTATGTTAATTTATAGTTATATGTCCTTTTCCTTTATTTTTTCTTTACTCTTTCATACTATTAGAAAGGAATTACCCAAACTTGAACATGAAATCTTCAGGCCATCAAAGTCAGAAATGATTTTCAGTGTGACATCATTCACATACCAGTTAAGCAAACAACGCTTCCTCACCCACATCACAGAAACTAGGAGGGAACCACATTTATATATCACTCCACTCCATCTAATCAGGAAGCCTGTCAGCTGATCCTAACACTAGGACGTCACCCCAAAAGGAGGAAAAATGGTATCTTGCAATGGCGCCTTCTTTTGGCTAGGGATATTTCACACATATCTCAGCCCCAGGAGAGGCCGCAGCGACCAGCGGGAGCACTCTGCCCCCGGGGCTCCATGTTCACCAACACCTCCGGGACCCAGGCAGGGCCCCCCCCCCCTCGCTCCCTGCCCTCTCCCTCCTCCCCCCACGCCCCGATGCCGCCGCCAGCCCCCTCCAGCCCCGTCCCGCCCCCGGGCGGTCCCGCACATGCCCAGCACCGCGGGCAGCCGCCGCCGCCACCCGCCCGGTGCCAGCCCCGGCCCTGTCCCCGTCCCTGTCCCGCCGGTAGGTGCCTGCCCCAGCGGGGAGGGGGACGGGGGTCGACGGTGCCGCCCCCGAGCCGGGAAATGGGAGCGGGGGGGGGCCGGAGCCGTGCCCCAAGTTCAGGCACAAGCGGCTGCGCAGGGTGTGCTGCTGCTGCTGGGGGTGAGGTTGGAAGCGGTGTCTGCACAAAGCGTGACTTTAACCACTCTTGCCAGACGGGCCGTTTCTAATTACAAAGATGTTGCTCGGGTTGCTACAGTTGTTTTTCTGCGAGCTCGGTGAAAGCACACTTTGAAATATTATGGAAAATCACAAGATCTTTCCGCCCTTCGCTCGCTTGCTATGCTTCCCTAGAAAGCCGATAGCTTTCCCGCGAGAGCGGGCCATGAAGCCCCCTGCAGGAATGCTTTCTGCTATCAGCTCAATCTGGCGCCAGGAAAAGGGAGGAAAACACAGGTCTGTAGCAGCCTGAAAGACATCCTGAATTACCCTTCCTGAAGACAACCACCTCCAGCTTGAGAAGTGTTGTGACTCTATGCTGGCTTGCAATCATTAAAGCACATTAAACGCAATACTTAATCCAGCTTTATTCTGCTGGATTCTCATTTTTAAAAAGCTGATGGGTGTTGAAGGTCTTGTCAACACTTCTACATTTGTAAGCTGGTCTTTAAAATACATGGAAAGTAAATGGAGGGGAAAGACTTTCTGTTCAGTAGCCAAGCACCAAATTCCTGGATCAATGCCTTAGTGCTGCTATCTGAGCAGCAGCACGTGGCCTAATCTCCCTGTGCCAGCCTCACTGGGAGGCTGTGACATAACCACTGGGCATAAAGTGAAAAAAAATAATTCCAAACAGAAATCCAACACTGATTTCAACATGGACGAATTGATGATTGATTTACAAAAGGCCACAGCTATGGAGATGGCAAATTGGAGGCTTCACTTGTGGCAGATGTCCACACCAGAAGCACTTTCCTCCCAGCGTTATGTCCAACTATCTGCTTTCCCCACAGATATGAATTATTCTCGGTTTCTCACAACTGTGAGTGCAGCAAGAAAGGAATCTCCAATAAGACTTCTGAGTGAGTATATACCTTCTTTGTAGGGACTCTGGAAGAATATCTTTGCATTCTGGACTTTTCTGAGGTATCGTGGCTAACAGCTTGAAACGGCTTAAGAGAATATTGTGCTATAAGCTGACAAGTATTTGCAAGGCCAGCTAACTGCTCTTTTTAAACTGGAGGTGTCAGACAGGCATAAAGAAAAGTAAATTGCCTCAAACCATTTCAGAAACCCATCTGGACAGAAGAAATAGCATTGTTCTGTCACTTAAACATGTGCCTGAAAGTCTTCTGCTACTGCTTCTGAAGCAAAGCTTTTGGCACAGCTTGTTACTCAATTTACACTCATTGCCCAGGAACAAAACTGCTAATGTCTTGAAATTCAGTCCCAGCATGTCTCCACCTCACTTTCCTGTATCCTACTAATAGATTCCCCAACCCCAGCTCATTGTTACTACATTTTCCTTTTCTATGTTACACTGCTATCTTTAGGCTACCATGTTACATAGTCTTCTGGGTGACAAATAGAAAAGGTTAACTGCCTACTTGCTTACTCAGTTGAAACCTATGGGGACCTGACAGAATCAGAGCATGAGACATACATCAGTAGTTAAGCCTTCAGGGGTCAATTTCCTCTCCTGGCAAGGGGTTGGCATTTACTGCTCTGCTTAAATTATTTAATGCAGGTACAGCTAAGTCAACTAATTCAGTCTAGTTACTCTCTATTCACCTTTTAAGTGATACATTGATACGCGTGATAACACAAATATTAAGTAGCATGGCTTGTATAAAAAGACATCAGCACTGCAGTTTTGATAAAGTAAATCTTCTTACAAAACCACAAGTCAGAGACATGAACCATACTGCTGAACTGATAAGAATTAACTCCCCCCGCTCAAGTTTGCTAATAAGTAGTAGAGAATAAACCCGATATCAGGAAGCTCAACACCAGATTTGGTATCCTCTTTCCCCTCATATCTGATGTAAAAGCATCAAGCCAGCGTGAATGCCATACTCTGAGCTCTTAGACTGAACGAAGTCAAGTGCAATTGCCAAGTGCAGTCCAGTCTGTGCTGCAAGCAGAGCATAGATTGGATCTGAATGATTGTGAAATTGACTTTAAAGCAAGAACTGTCAACATTTTCTTCATGCTGCCTTATTTACACAGTGCCTCTGCCACTAAAGCTGTGCTGCCAGAACAATTCCCACTCCCTTATGGAAACACTGTCATCGTAGATGTAGTACACTGGTAGCAGTGTACTGCCATGTTAACTAAAATGAGGCAGAACATAAAAACAGTCATTCAAAATCAGTCTAAACAGAAGGACATTAAGATTTTAAATTCTGCAGGCTTAGAGGTATCAGTCAAAAAGGTTTTCTAATAACATAAAAACAGTCCAGATGAGGCAAGAAAAAGCTATTTTTACTTTAAAGAGAATTTTGGTGTTGTTCCTCCCCCACCTCCCCATCTTTTTAAACCACAGAGAAAGGCGAGGTTAAAACGAGTTACCATCTTTTTCAATTCATGACTTGTTAAACAATGAAGTGAAATATAGAACAAACTTCTGTAGTCCATTATTAGATACTAACTCAATTGTGTGAGTAGCTCTTGCAATAATCAGATTGTAATCAAGTTTTTTTCCTTTTACTCTAGCTGAATTGATGCAAAGGTCTCCTCCATCTCTCATCTCTCTGGCTGGAGGGGCACCAAACCCTAATGTTTTTCCATTTAAGAAGGCTACTGTTGCCATTGGACATGGAAATGCTATTGAGATTGGGGAAGATTTGATGAAGAGGGCTCTTCAGTACTCCGCCTCAGCAGGGTATCTATGAAGGCTGCTTGCACTTAAAGATACTGGAATCAAAGGGTCATTAAATCCTTTTTTGTATTAATTGATCTTCACAAAAACAGCTTTAACTTTTCAGTTTTCTTCAGTATTTACATTTCAGTGGAAATTTGAGTAGATGAATAATTTTTTAATATTCAAAATTCTTAAGCCAGAGCATTTCCTTGCTGCTGGTGTTTGAGAATCCAAATCCTAAATCACTAAAAGGACTCATGTTGCAATAAGATACTCATTAAATGATACTGCATTGCAGTGCATAGTTTCCACATCTTGAAGTGTTTGTTTTGCTCTTATTTGGTACCATGTATTAAAGAAGTCAACCCATACTTCTTGTGGTAGTTGAATTGAAGTATTTATAGTATTGACATTTTTAGTATAAACAATGCATATGTTAAGTTAGTTTAGCACTCAAACTAACAGGTAGCACCAAATTAGGTTTTTGACACTTGCAAAAATACTTATGTACCCACATAGGCACACAGGACAGAGTAATGTGTTCACTTTAATATTAGGAAAAGTCACAACTTAAGTATGCAGACAGTTATGAACATCCTGCAGAACCCTAAAGCATTTTTGAAGAGCCCATTTCCAGATTTTTTACTACCCACAGCCTGTTTCCAGAAGCATTGCAAGCTTTGTCACATTGCCACATTTGAGCATGGAAAAACCATTCCTAGGAAAAGATGCTGTTTAGCCTCCATCCATATTTCATCATTGCTAAGTCATTTCTACCCAGGTAGTTTGGTCTGTAGACCATAAGTGTTCATCTCTTCTGCTCTTCCATAAAAAAATAATATTTCATCATTTGATAAAGCAAGTGACAGTTAAATCAGACTCTGAACTGTGCAAGATTTGACACTGATTTAGAGGAGCAGCCCATCTTTGGCCTGTATAAGATAGTAGATGCACCTTATCTTATTCATATTTCAGGATTCCAGAACTGTTGTCTTGGTTAAAGAACTTTCAGAGAAATCTACACAATCCACCAACAGCCAACTATAGTCCTGAGCAAGGACAAATGGAAGTGTGTGTCACAACTGGCAGCCAGGAAGGCTTGTGCAAAGTAAGAACAAAAACTCCATATGTAAGAAGTACTTTCAAAGAGATGTTTTTTCTTCTATCAGTTAAGTTATACTCAGCATTAAGTGTCAGTATATAACAATACACAGAGTAGTTTGTTAAATGCACATCTCAGCATATTATCAACACAAGGTAATAGACCATAAAAAACATTGGGCAGTCTCATATCAAAAATACCTGACTTTGGATAAACCAGGAAGTCTGTCAGAAAATCTAGTATAACATCTCACGTTACTCAAGCAGTGCAGTAATTGATGCATTATTTGCTTTGCTGTAGCTCAATTATAATTGTGTTAGACTTAAATACTTAGCCTTTTCAGTCCACTGCTTAGTTGATCCTTTCTGTAGCTGAAGAACCATTTCATTTGTATAGAGAACTGCTTTCATTGCAAATTGTTATTCCCTGATTGCCTAGCTTGATTTGGAAAGCTGATTCTTCATCTGTTTTCTACACAGCTTAGTTAAATTGTTAGGGAATTACTGATATGTAATCAAGATTTATAATCCCACTAAAGTTGGAACTATGAAGTACATGTAAAATCTTTCCAAAATACACTGTTTTCTTTCACAGGTATTTGAAATGCTCATTAATCCTGGAGACAACATCCTTTTGGATGCACCTACATATGCTGGGACACTAGCAGCTGTAAGTATTTAAGCAACAAAGCTATGAATGTTACATTTGAACAGCAATATATTACATCTGCAGGCTTATTTGACCTGTATCTACTGCAAAAACATTTAAGAATTGAGTTTTTACTGTCAGTCTGATTAAGTTCATAAACATTAATTCATAAAAACTATTGCCAGGACAAAATGTCCTTTTCGAAATCCTAGGACAAAGGTCATGTTTGAGATTGGGGAGAAAGCTGTCATAGTTGGAAACAAATTTATAAGTAGGTAATTTCAACATGTCAGCAATGTTCATAACTGAAGTATTTTATAGTCTGATTACACTGATACTGTACCTGTAAGTCCCATAAGTTGGAATAGGCGTGGAACATCCATGAGTTTTAAAATATTAAGAACTGTACAAAAATAAGTTTACCTCTGAAAAAATAATCAGTACGTAATTTAACATCAACTAAAAATGCATAACATCTTCATCAATGATCTGGATGAGGGCATTGAGTGCACCCTCAGTAAGTTTGCAGATGACACCAAGCTAGGTGCGTGTGTCGATCTGCTTGAGGGTAGGAAGGCTCTGCAGGAGGATCTGGATAGGCTGCACCGATGGGCTGAGGTCAACTGTATGAAGTTTAACAAGGCCAAGTGCCGGGTCCTGCACCTGGGGCGCAATAACCCCAAGAAGAGCTACAGGCTGGGAGAGGAATGGCTGGAGAGCTGCCAGGCAGAGAAGGACCTGGGAGTGATGGTGGACAGTCGGCTGAATATGAGCCAGCAGTGTGCTCAGGTGGCCAAGAAGGCCAACGGCATCCTGGCTTGTATCAGAAACACTGTGACCAGCAGGGCTACGGAGGTGATCGTCCCCCTGTACTCGGCTCTGGTGAGGCCGCACCTCGAGTACTGTGTTCAGTTCTGGGCCCCTCGCTACAAGAAGGACATCGAGGTGCTTGAGCGGGTCCAGAGAAGGGCGACGAAGCTGGTGAGGGGCCTGGAGAGCAAGTCCTATGAGGAGCGGCTGAAGGAGCTGGGCTTGTTCAGCCTAGAGAAAAGGAGGCTCAGGGGTGACCTTATCACTCTGTATAAGTATATTAAAGGAGGCTCTAGCGAGATGGGGGTTGGCCTGTTCTCCCATGTGCCTGGTGACAGGACGAGGGGGAATGGGCTAAAGTTGCGCCAGGGGAGTTTTAGGTTAGATGTTAGGAAGAATTTCTTTACTGAAAGGGTTGTTAGACATTGGAACAGGCTGCCCAGGGAGGTGGTTGAGTCACCATCCCTGGAAGTCTTTAAAAGACGTTTAGATGTAGAGCTTAGGGATATGGTTTAGTGGGGACTGTTAGTGTTAGGTCAGAGGTTGGACTCGATGATCTTGAGGTCTCTTCCAACCTAGAGATTCTGTGATTCTGTGATTCATAAGAACTGTAAGAGGAGTTAGGATAGATGATATACCACTCCAGTCTCGTTTCCCTTTGCATCAACAGGAGTTTTGATATTGTTGGCTATGCTAAATTTGAGAACATGTTTGGCTAATCAAAGGTACTTTGGCAGCAACTTCCATTTTTACATTGAAATGCTTAGCTACATGGTACAAACTCAAATTCCACAGAGGGGAGACAGTGTACTTTTTTGTTAGTATTTTTCCTATATCTTTTCATACTGCTGTCAACATGTCATTACAGTAGCATCTTTTCTGTTGTATTGCTGAATGTATCTACTGAGAACAGATTCTTTGCCCTTTGTCAGTGGGGAGTAGCTTACAGTTCTGGCACTTCCACTTAAGTAGAATGCAAATTGTCAGCAGGAAATGAAGTTTCAGTAGTTTTTCTGTGTTGAGAGTATGAGAGCACAACTCCTGAAATACCTTTCTGCTGGCAAAATCATGACATCTCCTATAGAAGAGGACCAATTAGACATTAGTTACCTGTTTTTCCTCAGGTGGCTTAACAGGGCAAATTAAGAGTTACACACCAAGTTTGACAAGCTGCACAGCAAGCTGAGGCAAGCTTTCATTGGAATCACAAGGAAGCAGAGTTTGAGATAGATATAAAGACTGGTATTATAAAGCTTCTATGATAAAATGACAGAAGCAAAACTTAAGAATTACAGTATTATAACAGTTTTGTTCCTCCTGTCAACAGCTGAGACCTTTGGGTTGTAACATTATTAATGTTCCTAGTGACCAACATGGCATTATTCCAAACGCTCTAAAAGAAATTCTATCTGCTTGGAGTCCAGAAGATATAAAAAGTCGTAGTCACAGTCTCCCCAAATTCCTATACACTATTCCGAATGGCTGCAACCCAACTGGCAACTCTCTGACTGCAGAGCGCAAAAAGGAGATCTACCAGGTACATAGCTGGGGCTTTATGTAACTTGTTAGTAGAAATGGATCAATGTCAGTCTTGTTTCAGTTAAGGATACTCCACGTGTTGCATTGGGTTCATTATTGCTCTAGTAGACATTCTTCCCATAACTTGGTTTAAAGTAAAATCTTTCATGACAACTCTGCAGAAGTAGACTATGCATTAGGTAATTTTTTTTTTCAGTAGTAGCCCATTGCTGACTGCTACCTTTGCCATGGGCTTCAGAGTGTGTTTACTGCAAGTGTACTGTACAGTTTAAACACTACATGGAGTAGACCTTCAGTTACATACCTGTCCTTCCACTGCAGGTACAATGTCTACTGTTTAAATTGCTCCGGACTGGGCATGTAAAACCTTCTGGACCTTGTACATAGTGAATGGGTGGGATCGTGGTGCGGTTCTGGTAATAGACCCACAGTATACAAATAACTGAATTTACAGTCTTGACATTTTAATGAATCTTTTCTTTGTATTAATTTCTTTAGCTTGCAAGAAAATATGATTTCCTTATAATAGAAGATGATCCTTACTACTTCCTTCAGTTTGAAAAGGTAATCTGTCTTTTATACTAAGTAGCACGTTTTCTTGTCCCAAGCAGAACTAAGGTTTGAGCCATAAATCTTCCTGCATGCTCTTTTTCATGTCCTTCCAAATTAGTTGCAGGCCTAGCAGTCTATTACTACTTTGAGTATTTGTCCCCTTTATGGTATTTTATTGCATCAGCCAGTTAATCATGGTGGTTTAAATTCCTTAAGCTTTAAAAAGGGCAGAATTTCTTTCAGTATTAAGAAAGTGCCAAACACTTTGCCTGCAGAGCAGAACAAATATGCCACTGAAGCAGCTTTATAAAAATAGCAGCCTCTTAATGTTCCTTTCAGCCCAGTCACTTCTCCTTTCAATGGAAGACCACCTACTTCCAATCTAGTGCATCTCATTTCTACCCCTTTGCCTTTTAGAGACTCTAAGGGAGTTTTCCCAAAACACCTTCTCAGAGAATCCATTATTTATCTCCCCTACTTATGGCACCATACCAAAACTTGAACTGAACACTTGTATGGAGAGCAATGGGCTAAGCATCAAAAAGTGACAACATTGATTCTTGATGACTTTCATAGAACATTATCACATCTCAGACAGCTCATCTAAACAATCATTTGCAAGCAAGTTACTGCATTTTGTTCTTTGAATATCCGTCTAAAATATTTGCTAGCAAAATTTTTTTAAGAAATAATTATGTCTTCTTAGCAAAGAAATTAATTCTTCCATAATTCATACTAGCAACTTGAATTTTTTTTTTCTTCCAAGCCATGGGCTCCAACTTTTCTCTCAATGGATTTGGATGGCCGAGTTATCAGGACTGACTCTTTCTCTAAAATTCTCTCATCTGGGTAAGGCCAGTTACAGACCACTCAGCATTGTATGTTAAGTCCTAATATTAATACTACCTCTGACATGATTAGACACGTCATTTTTTTTATCTAATACTTATTTCTCAAAAGTACTTTTCTTCAGCTTGCTCACTTTTCTTGTAATCTCTTCACAGTTATTTTACTTCAGTTTCCCTCCTGATACCGATAGGCCATTTGACCCAGGCAGCCCAGTCTTCCAGGCACCATACAGGCAGAAAGACTGAGATGCTAGGCTGCAGCTCTGTTCCTGCAACTCCTAAAAAACTTTTTCCATTTCTCCTCTTACCATTCCTGCAGACTCCCTGCACTTCCAATATAAAAGAGAAATGATGGCATCATTCTTAACAGGCATAGCATTATACTGATCTCTTATCTTCAGTTCTTACCGATTGTCTTCATCTGAAAAATTAGGCTGGCTGTTTTCAATTACACACAGATTGACTTGTTTGATTTTTAACTCACTTCTGCTTACTATTCTGGTAGACATAAAATAATATGAATTCTGCACTGGCAGCTAGTGGATTGTAACTCCATCCCCAAGGAAGTGGGGAGACAACATGATGCTAAGTGTGATTACACTTTGAGAAGTGAAGCTACAAAAAGGCATGATGCAATCTTATCTTTGTCAACAACACATCTGAGCTTACTGATTCTATTTTTCTTCAAGTAACTGCCCCAGACAATCTGAGTAAAGATGGGTCATAAGCCTTGAAATGAATAAGAGTCTAGTTTATCAGTGTAGATTCTGTTTATTCTGCAGTGCTGAAAGCAAGCAAAAAGAGCAAGCCTGTTTGTCAGTTCCTATCTGTTTTTCCATAAAACATGAGCATTTGTGATTTCAGTTCTGTGAATAATCCACCTTTCTTTCCCTTTGATTCATGTAATCCTTATGGTTGCAGAGAAAATCCTACAAATTTGGGATACGTCCTGAAGTCCCAGAACCAGGAAGCAACTATAAGCATTAAAAGCCCTTTTTTATTTATTTTTTCTCATGACCGATACTTAGCTCACAAGTTGCTTAAAGCTGGGACTTACGGCAGTATGAAGATATAAATGCATAAAAGATCCTTACAGTGTCAGTGAAATGGTTACAGGTTTTCCAGTTATAAGTTAAACAATAACTTACACAAAGATTAGCATATTGCATTTCCTGTAGTAATGTTTTTTTTCTTTCTTCTAGGTTGAGAATAGGTTTTCTGACAGGTCCCAAGCCTCTTATTGACAGAGTTATTCTACACATTCAGGTTTCAACAATGCACACCAGCACTTTCACACAGGCAAGTACTAAACTGCTAACTGAATTGTATTGAGAAAAGATAACATACTTCATGGTACAGGAAAACAAAAACAAACATTTTACAGCTGCTCTGCACTTGTCAGTTTTAGTTATAAAAACCTGCATTGTCATTTTTGCCAAAGAAATTACAACCAGGCCTTGAGGGTATCTTAGTGCATGGAAAGCACCACTGCTTCAGCTAACATGCCCTTAGCCATCAGATTTCAAGAACCAAGATTTAAATTATTTTCTCTTGACAGTAGGTTCACTTGAAAAAACTCAACATAAAGCACATAAAAGTACTCCCCCCTCCATTTTTCATTAGTCAGTAGCTAAAAGACTACTGGCAGCACACAGGCATCACAACGCAGTCAGCCATCTACAACCCTTTTATAATTAGTAATAAGTAAAGGAGAGAGACATCAAGCATATCTAGATATGACCTTCATCTTCTAGCTCTGCTAATTCATCATAGAGGCAGTATTGAAGCAGAGAGACTGATGGGGTGGAAGAAACTCCTGTAAAGCAACACACATTGCCTTCCTTTAGTTCTCCACTTGACTTTCTTCCTCCTGCCCCAGCATCTAAATACTTAAGGAACCTTGGAGACAGATGTAACATGGAATAAAACTGTCTGTTGCTGCTGCTACCTCTGTCTATAAAGGACTCCAAGAGACCACACATGCAATTGCTTGTCCATGTGGAATTCTGAATGAGATATGGCTACATGTCTTTTGATGATTGTGGAAAAGTCCTGTTTAAAATACAGTATTGATGGTGTGCTTTATTTCTTTAGATTATGATATCACAGCTTCTTCAGCAATGGGGAGAAAAGGGCTTTTTGAAGCATATAGACAGGTAGGATCATGTCACGTGCTGAATCCCATTATCTGTCATGCTGCTTCTTGTTACCTACACAAAATACTCCTTAGAGTGAACAGGCCAGAGGAGATGTATCAGTTTGAGGTAAACAGATGAGCAGTCCTAGGCCAATGGGGTAAGCCAGGTCAGCAAGACTGGCAGTATTCCTATGAAAGTGCTGAAGGAACTCTGTGTGAAACTGTAGAAATGCAGGTCAAGGCATGTAAACCTACCACTACAGGCTGGCAATCTGTTGGTCCCCTAGCATAGCAACTATGCAACTCCAATCTGAAAAGAACTGAAGAGGATCTTGGGAGCTACAGGGCAGTAAATGAAGATATTACTGCTAGATAGGGTCTATAACAGAGACTAAGATCACTGAGATAGTCTTACACAGGAGTCAGCATGGCTTCTATATGGGAATTCTTCCCTCCCTAGCTCAGTGATTCATCCTCTAACAGCCTTAATCCAATTATTGGGGATGCTGGAGAAATAAGAACAGAAAGCACTACAGAAAATATCAAGGTTCACCTAGACTCGCTAAACATTTCCTCTATCGCCATATTTGGTGACAGAGGGTTCAGGGTCTAACTCAGTGAGGCATTTCTTACAGTGACCAACATACATTTATTTTTCAGTTGTTTTCCTGGGAGTATCCATGCTTCATTTCAAATGGCATACTTAAATACCCTTAGAACTCCAGGTTTCTGCATCAAGGGGTAGTATGCTATGCATCATAAAGCCTTGTAACAGGAATGTGAGAAAAGCATGAAAAAGTTTCTTTTGTCTGACTGCAACAGCCACTTCTGTGCCCTGAGCATCTAACTGTTAACTATACTGTAACTACCATTAGCTAAAAAGAAAAAAAAGAAAAAAATAGTCCTAGTTTTGCCTTGTTTTAGATTCCATGGGATTTGTATAAGAAATAAGAGCATAATGATAGATTTTGTAGGGGAACTTGGGCCACGCTTCAACTCTACTTTCAGCAACTAGAAGATACATCTTAAACATCTTCTCACTTACCTTCTTCCTGACAGTGAGGCAACCTTATTCAAACCAGAAAGCTATTCTTCCTCTTGACCTAATGAAAGCAGTACTATAGTAGGCTAGCTACAACCCTTTATAACCTTCTAGACCCCACTGTCAGGTGACTTATTGATTAGGCCCAACAACTGAGTACAATTTCCTTGTGATTTCAGTGGGGTCAGTTGACTTGTCAGATCATGTTCCTGACTAGTAGCTAGGCTGTGGTTTGGAGCAGTTAAATTTCTGTGAAAGTCTTGTCTCATGCGTATAATTTCATTCCAATATGAAAGTGAAAGAACATCACAAAAAGGCAGAGAAGTTACGACAGAATTTATGATGCAGTAAAAATTGCAGAAGATTTACCATTTCTTGCAGAGTGTAGCAATTGGTATAATCTGGGTCCTTGAGATACGTGTTGTTTGTCTATCAGGTTCAATAAAATACATGCAGAAATCAAAGCTCTGGGTTCAAAGAGTATCAAAAATGTACATTTAAAATTACTAAGTACAGTTTATCCCCAGGGAAGGAAACCCCTTTACACCAGATCTATGAAATCTGTATCAAACATTTCTCGTGTCTACCATTGCAGAATCACAGCTCTCTAATTTTATGCCAACAGAAGTAGTAACTCTACAAGACTTGTCCCTGTTGGAACTTAGTTAGGTTCGGGTCATTTTCCCAAGTAAGACATTGAATTATTTGGAAGTTTTAGTTAAAGTGTGAAGGCAATAGCTTCAAAGGGTTAGAACAGGGGAAGTCGTCAAATAGTCATGACAAGTTTATCATGTGATTTGCTTTTTACTTTATGAAATATCATTTCCTTGTGTACCTATTGCAGAAATTCAACCCAAATGCACCAATATCAAGTATGTGCTTTTACAGATGTACACGTCTTTGATTTTCTTCTGTATGCTTGTTTTGTGCGATTACTGTTGCTAACACAGCTTGTATCTACTGATATGATAGAATGGATATCATGTATTGTTTAGTACTGAATTTTCCCTGACTTGTAAATATTAAGAAGCAACTACAAAGGCACTTCCTCTATCCAATTGATCTGTGCTTTGCTGGAGAGACACCGAAGCATTCAAGACCTTTCTGATACATGTACAAAGTTTCATATACACATTATCGTATTGTGCTGATCTAGGATATACTCATATTTCCACCAAGTGTGCATTTTATTTGTTAAAGTAGAAAAGCCTTGTTTCTGCTTTTGGAAACAAATAGACTCTGAAGCACTATGGGATCATGACTTGGAATTGATAATTTACTTTCAGAGTTGTGGAGTTCTACAAGACCCAGCAGGATGCAATGCTTGTTGCTGCTGACAAGTGGTTAAAAGGTCAGTGAGTGCAACACAGCTAATTACTTAGACTTTTTCTCTAGCTATTTATCATCTTCGTGTTCAAGAAAAATCAGTAAAGGTCATCTCTTGACTGAAGTGATAGGTAAGCACTATAAGCAAATCAATGACATTAAATATTAAGCTTAGGACAAATTATCTAAAGCTGCTGTTTTCATGCTTTTCTGGTAGGGGACGAGATGAAGATGAGTAAAAAGCTCACTGCATTACTGTATAAAGCAGTTTTACAAAAAGCATGTATTTCACTCCACTGTATTTTTATACTTGTGTTTAAAATTTCTGTCTTTAAAATCTCCATTTGAAATACCCAGATTCAAATACCTAAATTTAAAAGAAGATATGAACAACTGATACAGTACTAGTGATGGTCCTTCTTTCAGAAATGAATTTTAGATGTCCACTTCTGTGGTTGATCAGAGCACAGAAAGAAACTGATCAACACCAATGTAATTACCTTTAGTGACTCACTGTGTTTAGGCAGTCTGAAGTAGAAACAGCAATAATTATTTAAGAACTGCCCACTTAGCTGAGACACTTCCGTGGGACCTAGGTACTTGAATACCATATGGTCACTAATATACTTACTCTTGCCAATTCATGTTTTTTAGATAAGTATTTTCTCTTTTTCTACGTGGATCTGTATGATCATGGGTTATTGAATTTGGACCCCCTTTGTCCCAGTTTCCCAAATATCAAAACAGTATAATAGCACCGTGTTCTCTTACGGTGTGTTGAGAAAATATACTCATATGTAAGATTATAGGGTCTTCACATTTTTTTAGAGACAGGAGCCATATTATTACAGAAAACAGACCTTTATTTTGTAGATATGTAATGGTTAAATACATCAAGGAAGAGATGAAGATGATAAGTCAAATAAATATTTTTTTCAAAAAACACATCCTAAAACAAGTAAATAATTGCTTCTCGGTAAATAAAGGTACACAGTAAGTCTGCATATACAATTTAAAACATAAATCCTCTCTAAGCCCTCTCATCCTCCTCATAATTCCTAGACTCCCATTTTCTTTGGGCAAAAATCTATAACCAATTTAAAGGAAAACATTTTTCTGCTTTGCTACACTTAAATTACATTGATAGTCAACGTAGTACTGGAATAAACTGCACCAGAAAAAAATATTTTAGACTGCTTGGAGAGAGTGTTTACTTGATCTCAATGTAATCAAGAAATTTAATTTCTTAATAGTTCGGTTTTTCAAAATTCAAAGTAATCTCTTTCGCAAAAAATTCTGAAAATACCAGCATGAGTGCAGTAAGCACACACAGATTTCATTATTATCATAAATTTAGCAAGTGGCATTCTGGATCTGTGGCCAAATTCCCTTTGAGTTCATTGGAGCAACAGATCCACATCCCTGAATCTATAATGTATTTATTACAGGTGGAGCAGAAGTTTCTTTTTTTGATTCAGTTCTTTTTTCTTTCTCTAGGCTTGGCAGAATGGTATCCTCCTGCTGCTGGCATGTTCTTATGGATCAAAATTAAGGGAGTTTCTGATACAGAGCAGCTGATCATGGAAAAAGCCTTGCAGAAAGAAGTATGATTTATGGCTTAATGGTTTATGATGTTAAATGAGGAAAGGATAAAATAAATTTACCATATCTATCTGCACATATGCACACACATAAAAGTAAAGGAACTTGAGTGCCCAGTCATCACTGAGTCTCTGAGTCACAACTGTCACATAATGTAGTGACTCAATAAAGTATTTTCTTGTCTGTATTCAAATGTTGATATTTAATCAGCTTAAATTTAAATCATATATAATATTATATATAATATATATGATATATATATATAATACTAACATATTGGGCAGCCATCATTGATACAGAAATATATCTTCTTAATAAGAGAAATTAAGTGTGATTTTGTTTCTACAATCACACCGTGCACTGAGTAAACTACATCCCACCGCACTGGTATATCTAAACATGATAACAAGCCAGACCTTGTTACCAACCAGCCTAAGAGCTATCTGTTTTGTTTTTTTGTTCTTTGTTTTTTTTTTTTCTTTTACGAAAGTCTGATGCCAGTTTCCATGTTTTTAGCTTCCTGTTTTGAAGAGGCAGAATATATTTAGCAACGTTCTGATATCAGTGTTTCAACAGTGAGCCTTCTAAAATTTAATATAATATACTGTTTAAAACCATACAAGTGGTTGTACCTAGGTGTCTAATCACTTTTACTTAGGTGTTACTTGTTCCTGGAAGAGCATTCAATATCAAGAGTTCAGAGCCTAGTTCTTATGTCAGAGCTTCCTTCTCTCTATCTTCTCCAGCCCAGATGGATCTGGTAAGTGAGAGAATTTTTATTTTTTTTTACTTTCTTTTCAAGAACAGTTTCTCACATTAACGATGTTCCCTTATTTTTAAATACTTACTTCTTATGCATATTCTTATTTGCCTAATGTAGTTGTTTTAGTACTTACACAGTAAGCCAGTACTTCTAAAGCAGTATTAGCTGTTTCTTACGCAGGATACTTATATGGAAATTACCTGAAAGGTACTAAATTTTTAGGACCACTTGATTTATTTCTGTGTATCTTATACATGCAGATTCTCACACTTAATCAACCCAGATATTATTCAGAAAGGCTTTAATGAAGTCAGAGTAAGTTTTGCTGTTTGTCTTAGCACTAGGAAGCATCATGTTTCTTTATTTTCCAGGTTGTCCATTCTTGAGACTGAATTACTTTTTTTGTATATGTTGTCAGTCCTTCAAACGAAAGAATATTGTTTTTCTTTCCTACAGTTCACATACATGTTGCATTTCATTTCTCAGGAATCTATGTATTTTACAAATGTTTTGGATGTTAATTGGCTGTATCTGTAAAATCAGTGGAGAGAAAGACTAGGATATATTTATTTGTGCAGATTTAATACTCCTTTGATTCAGGTGCTTGCAAGTTCAGTATTTGGAGTTTCATTTTCATTCAGTTACAAACATTTGTAACAGAAGGGTGTTTCTGTTTTCCTTTTCTTTCTTCTTCTGTATTTATTCCTTCTTCTTGATGAAATTAATTCATAACCATACTACTGACAGACAGATTGTATCTTGCTGACATTGTACTGCATGTTTCCCCACTAAACTGTTCTTCTTTTTCTCTTACCTTTGGAGCCTCTAGGCTCTTATACTGCCTTAAAAGAGATACATTTCTAAGGATCACTAGTTGTATTAAAAGTACAACTTGTTAGTTGCAGGTGAACTCTGAATAATCATTGAATATCACTATACATAGTTTTTTGTTGTTTTTTGTTTTTTTTTTCAGAAAGCCCTACCTTTTATTTTCTAGCAGATTAGTAGAAGCTTTATCTAGTCACAATATGATTCGAGGCCCATATGCGTTGTTAAAAAAGTAAAACAGAGTATCAGCAGAATTTGGCAGTATAAAACTGTGAGTTCATATATTGTTAGGGTAGTTTAGTAGCTTTACAGATTTACTGTTTATTTAAGTAATGCTGGAATATGAATGAGAACTATCTTTGTATCATTGCAGGCTTTCAGGAGACTGGCTGACCTTATAAAAGAAGCTTGATGGAAAAGCTGAACAGAGCACATACAGCAATCAAAAATATCTCCAGAAAATACTTGTTAACACTTGTATTTCATCAGAATACTTTAAAAACAAGTACAACACTGTGGTTGTTTCCTTTGGATTGCTTTTCATTCTTTCATTTTTATTTCTATTTTTTAGCTGAAATAATTTGCCTTTTTTTGACAGGACATTACATTACTAACTTTATTCCAATTCAAAAGCATTTTATATAGTTAAGAACAAAATGTTCTGTTGTTGTTTCCTGTCAAATCCATAGTACTGTTAGATTTTATTTGTTGTTTTTTTGTTTGTTTGTTTGTTTTTTCGCTTTTGTTTTCTGTTTGGGTTGGGAAGCAGGGAAGTCAGTTACTTAGGAAGTTACACCTGAGGTGGTCTTAAGCATTATTTCTTAATCCTAGCTGATACATTCCTGCAACACCTTAAGTTGGAATTGTTTTTGTGTGCCACTTTCCTTCTTGGCTCGCTGTACAGTATCTGGTTTTGAAGATTTGAAGATCAATATTTACTTTTACTAAAGTTTGGTCAGATAAAAATGATGTAAGGATGTTTTAAATTTGAAACTGACAAAATCAAGGTGTAAGCAAAACAACTTTACTTAATGACTCTGCAGCCCAACCCACATCTCTAGGTTTCCCTCCAATCCTCGCTGCAAGCTGGTGCTGTGGCTGAAGCCAGCCCCAGCACAGAGTCCCTTGGGGTGACACAGCACCAGGGGGAGTCTGCAGTCCCGAAGCTGCTCCTAGGGCACCAACACCATCTTTGAAGTTGCAAATCTTTCAAGATGAATCTCTGCATTTTTACACTTTTGATGGTGCTAATGGAAGTCCAAACTAACAGTGTCCTCTCTATACTGCTGCTTAACAGCAAGTTTTCAGGTTCAACTCAGTTTCATAACCACGTGTAGCGATTTTGAAACCTCAGACTTTTCTATCATCAATAAAACAATTTTTATCTCATGTTCAATTTAGAAAATAATTTTATACAATAGAATGAGCTGACATATCTATTTAATTAAAATAATATAGCTGTTGTATTTTACAGAGGAATAAATGGGAATGTCATTTAAGACTGATTAGAGCTCTCAGGCAAATACTACTGCCATTGTTAAGCCAGACCCGAATTAGAAAAATGTAATCAAAATATCATTATTAAGCAAGCCTTACATTTGTGATGTGTTGAATAATACTCTTCACCTTTCAGAGCTCTGAATGATTATCTAGTTCAATGTAAGGAAAATGCAGTCCCATTTGCTGCACATCAGATGTTTTTACTATCAGCTAATTTAATTTGGAGAGAGCTTGGTTTTCTTTCCCTGACTGTGGTGAACCATCTAAAATTAAATTAATATCCTGAACAATGCAAAGTGAACAATGGTAGTGAAATCTTATATGCACATGCTGTTTAACTGAACCTCATAGTACAGTTTCTGGTCTCCTGGGACACAGGATTCACTGTGATTAAATGCTCCTGGAAGAAGGCATTTAGATACAAAAGGAAAATGCCAGGCAGCAGATTCACATGGAAATGATCAGGTAACGAAGGTTTTGTTAGTGCTCTTTTTCCCTTTACATTTCAGCCCTCCAAAAGCAAATAGCCACTTTTATTCATAGCTGCATTTGGAGATCTGATGCAAGTAGTACAATCTACTGTTGGGGAAGAGAGGATACGGGGAAGGAGAGGGCTCCATTTTGTAAGCACATCTCTGGTGCTACCGGGGTAGGGGCAGCAACGGCTGTGGAAGGGTTTGTAGCAACACTACAGAGAGCAGCCTGAGGTGCTCAGCTCCAAGCAGGCTGGGGCTCCAGATATTTTGCTGAGTGGAACATTGTTTGCACTCGCTGTCGTACCTACACCTCTGTTCCATTGCATTTTCAGACCTTTGGTAGACAAAAAATGCCTAGAAATTCTGGACAACTAGCCCCTATACATGACCCCAATGATTGTACAAGGACTGTGAATTTCAGCACATTCTATTCATACCACTTGTGCACGTGTTGTGGCACACATACAGACTCACTGTGTGGCATGTCACACTTCTGCTTTGGGAGTTGTACAGGTGTAGCAAGGGGGTGCAGTTTTTCCCAGCAAGGATGGAAATACTAACTTTGATAACTCCAACATAATTCCCAAATTTCTGCATAAATTGTATGTGCAAATTTTACGTCCACACAGGTCATTGATGAGAAGGAAAATACACGCCTCTACTTCAAAATGAGAGCCTCCCAGCATAAGTCTGATGAATGAATAATTGGGGGACTGTGGGAAAACCTATGGGGAATTCATTAGAAGAGAGAATGTATGTCCATATACAGTTATGACAATTCTTATGCTAAACTGTGAGCACACAGAGAATTATTTCATCCAACCAAATGTGTCCATGAGTATCAGTGGTGGTATGCAGGAATTTACAGAGGACGCGTTGTGGAAAACGTTTGGCTTAGTTTTGGGGGATTGTCCCATAAATTCTGAACATAAATTTCATTTTAAACTTGATTCTTCAATAATGGTTTGCTCTGTGTAGGACTTTGTCTTTTAGAACCTTGTGGCCTATAGATCTGCAGTACTTTCAGTTCTGCCTTTGCAGTCCATATTCTCATACACTGGAGTAAATATTTAAAAGAGCTCTACTGCACTATTCATGTCCTAATCTGCCCTGTTTGCTTTATTATTTAATAGCAGTTTTCAAGCAGCCCACTGTAGGCTATGTCTTAGGTGGGAAGAGAATGATTGCAGCGCTTGAACTGTAATCATTCTGAGTGAAAAGCACTCTGCAAATACAAAGAAATATCCATTTTCATTCTTCTAACATTGCTATTAGGAATGCCAGTACCTCACTTTTCTCATAACAGCAGCTGTGGAGGCTTTTGTGTCACCCTGCAAAGCTCATATATCGCTATACGAGGAAGGATAAGGATCTTGCTGATTCTTTTTGAGCATTAGTATCCCAGAGATGTGTTAGCAAATCTGACTGGTGCTAAAAGATTCTCTGCTAGCTATACAGAATTTAGAAAATATATTCAATATTGTATTTTGTTTTACTTTCAAATTAAATAATATCTGGATTGGTATAACAAATGAATATGCCATGATGTGACCTGGAAAAAAATAACATGAAGGTATTTCAGTTTTGTGACTTACATAGAACTTTGAACTTTATCTTTCGCTGTATTTGGCTAATACTGAACTTTGAACATAAAAGGTTTAAGAGAGGATTTTTCTGCACTTTCCTCCAAAAAAATCAGGCACTAACAGATGTAGAATACCATTGGCCTGGCCCAGAATATTGAGTTCCTGGATATTGAATGCTGCAATTTGCATCCACATCCAGCTTGAGATGCCAGCCCTAAAACCTTTCTAGTGTCCAGGTACATTAGCAGATAGGAAATGTGATCTTTTCAGTACATATCACCACTCCTGTAGCCACTGAGGACTTGATGTAGCAACTTTGTTCTCCATAGTTCTGGAATATCCACCAGAAGGTGCATCAGCACTTGACAGAGCATCAGCAGAGTCACTGAAGCACAATGCTTGACATTTGTGGGTCCTCTCATATGTGTCTCCTGAAAACATCTCCCTGATTTGTGCCATTTTAATAACTGGTCCTGTAGTGTTTTCATGTCAAGTTTTTTGAAGCACAGGGCAAGAAATGGGGAAAACAAACAAACAAACAAACAAAAACAATACACTAATCATGAGGCAAAATTACGTTATTAATATTTACAAACTTTTTAAACTGGCTTATTTCCTAGATGTTGCTCTGGGAATCCATCTGTACTAATGTCAGTTTATGAAGGCAACAATGTACATATCTGCATCTGAATTATTCACATCAGTCAATGAGAATCATCATTTTTATAGCTGAGGTTTAAAACTGGTCAGATGAATTTCTAAGGTTCCTTTTTCCTTCTATTGATCCTAAAGGGAGCTTACAGCGACTCACTTCATTACAGAGGTATATATTTTAGCTATCAAAAACTCTGTGCAAAGAACCATATCTTCCATTGCTCTTTTCATGATATCAAATTTTTGCTGTTCTTACACAGGGGATGATCTCCTGTTAGAGCTGTGTATGACTGACAGCCTAATGGAAGTTTTTGGAAATTATTATTTTGTTTCCTTGGTTAATGAAAGCAGATAAAAAATAGTGGATTTGGAGGTAATACAACTAACTCACCGACATTTCTGTTAGTGGAAGCTGACATACTGATATATGTCTGTTAGTTTTCTGTCTGGCTAAATGCTGCTCCAGAATAGTGGCCAAGAAATACTCTACAATATGCAGATAGCTGTGGTTCTCAGCACTGTGTGTTTTCTTCTCCCGGCTATAACTCTATTCCAGTCACACTGTTAAGCCCATACATACAGTCATCTTTGCAATTAAAGGTACCTTTTTGAGGTACCTTTAAAAGAGTTTTAAAGAGTTCTCTTTTTTCTTTAGTTGAGGTTTATTAAAAATATAATTGGGCCTTTTAACTGACTGCAGAACTTTTATTATCAGCACGGTTCTACAAATAGAGATCTCAGAGACATTTGGGGATTTTCACACAGATATGTATCCATGCACAAACAAGAATGAAACATGTTTCCTTTTTATCCATGCCAACTCTGCTTTCTTGCATGAGGTTAAACAGGAGCAGGGTTACAGTGCTGTCAGAACAGAAGGACCTGCAGAAAGAACACTATGCCAGTAAAAGAAAATTTTAAAGGAACAAAGCTTTTTCTGTCAAGTCTTACACTATTAAGGACATGGTCCATAATGCCTCTGTTAAAAAAGCATGAATATGTAGAGCCTTGGGGTTCACATTAAAGGACAAAATGTGCTGGAAAGCAATGAGTGCTTTCAAACTGAAGTGTTGTTTACTACTCTGACAAAGAAGCAGAAGGATAAATCATTTTAGTTAGTCTCCAGGAGATAATATTTAGATAGAGCTTAATCCACAAAACTGCAGTTCTACCACTTAAAATGTGGACAAGATCACTAACTGGAAAGGCAGCACTCACGTTATTAAGCAGGAATAATGATACTTCTTTCTTGGGTATTATCATAACAACTTCTTCACACATGGAAATGAGATTTCCTTAAGCTTGTAGCTAAATGATCTGTTTGCACTGCTATATAACATGCTTCATTTCCATTGCTGAAATTGTCAGATACAAGACAAAGTAACAAATCTTGTTAGATACAAGACAAAGTAACAGCAAGCACAAACTTCATCTTCCCAAAGGGGAGGTCTCCAAGCATCTTCCGCCTGGAACACTACCTGTCAGACCAAGAAGGGAAGAAAGAGCTAACAAAGCTTCTGTAACTTACAAACTCAGCAACATCTTCCTGAGGTCCATCTCCCAACAATACCAAAGTCCATGGAAGTGCAAACAAGATGGAGCAAAGTAGCAACAGCTATTTTCATAAACTATGCTCAGCTCAGAAACATTTAAACCAATATCATTTTTCCAAAAGTCTTAGCATCCTGTACTAGACAGATAATTTACTTACGAGCACACTGTTTGACCATTAATAGCAACTGTATGACTTTAACTTGCACTACCCTGTTCCATCTTTTGAGCTGTGAAGTGTGCACAAGATTTTAGCATTCTGGTTTCAGCCAGCCTGTAAGCTGACCTGACACCATGTTTGAGAAGCAAAGTGGTAAACTGAAGTGTTGAGTTTTGGGGGTTTCCATGAAGTTTTGGCATTTCAGAACAAGGAAAACAGCAGTATTTTAATTTTGTTTGGGAGCAGTGTCTTTCCCTGAGAGTTCCACCAAGTATCCTACAACCCAAGCATTAAAAAGTGTAAGCATACATGTCAAGGGCTTTGTGATCTCTTCATCATTTCAAAAGATACACGATGAGTTAATCCAATTGAATATGTGCATGTTATCTTAGTAATGGCCAAGAGACTGGGAGAAAGAAATGTTAACATAGGCATGCTGACAGAAAAAAAAAAAAAATCATAACAAAATAAAATGATGAGGTATAACACAACAAACAAGTTATACTTACAGTTTATTTCACAAACTGGAGTTAATGTCATACTATTGAAAAAGAAATAAAATTTATATAAGGAGATTATCAGAAATGTTTGTACTTGAGTGGAATTATTTCAAGTCATTTCCACCAGTCTGCTAAAACTGTGATGTGATATCCCTAGTATTCCACAGGCCATGCTATGTGCATCCATTTGATGCAATGGAGTGCTTTAAAAAGGAAAAGAGATTGTAAATTGCTTGACACTATTTCTAAGAAACTGTTCTGTTGTTGTTTTGTCTCACATGTCTTTAATTACAGTCTCAAAATTTCCCTTGTCTTGAATCCCAGCAAAATCACAGATACAGAATTCTGCTTTTGTTTGGTTCTTGTTTGGTTCCTGACTGTGGAAAAAGAAAACTCATGTTTTCAGAAAGTGTCTGATCTGTAGAGGTATTGGAAGGAACAGTAGCTAAGGAGAAATAATTCTATGTATTTAAGCTATAACATAAATGGAAAGTCAAAGAACAATATACATTGATTCCTTTAAAATTATTTTTATAGCTCAAAAGTTATTTTTATAACACATTTTATAGAGCCAATTATCTCAAATTAATATACATCTTTAAGGAAGCCATTGCAGTATGTTAATCCTGAAGTACTTTCTTCTCTAGTCATGCATTTAATGGTAGCACAGATCCTATTTATTCCATACAATCTTCCTTCAGCGTGCAACTCTGGGCCAGATGGACCAAGGCATAGTGCTGCAGAACATGAATAGCCCTGGATGAACAGATGCATCTGATAATGCTGTTCATCAAAAGGTGTTTGTAATGTATTCTGGGGCCTTATTTTTCTCTCAATCTCATCTGAAAATGTAATATTTTATTTTCTCCACAGGACAGTGTCAAAGCAGATTTGTTTTGCTTTGTTTTGAGGTGGTAAACAGGTCAATTTCTGCAACAGCTATAACTTGAGGAAGGTGGTTTTGCACTTGTATATTAATTGCCTTTATTATTCACTGTAGCTATGTGTACTCCTATTTGAGAGACCACCTTACTTCAAGGGCTTTTCAAGTGAATTTATGAGCAGGTGGCACCTTTAATTCTCGTCCTCCTCAGCTTTTTGTTGCCAAGGTCTGGCAAGTATCATCTGTTAATACCAAATAGCACAGGTTTTAATTAGAATGCATTTTGGGACCCAGGTTCAACATTTACAAAACAAGTGCTCCCTTAACAACAGCTAACACTGTTGCCAGCCCAAGGATTACACTGCTTCACTATCTAGTTTATACAGACAGATCAAGCAGACCAAAAAAAAAAAAATATATATATATATATATATATATATGTATATATATATATATCAATTTAAGGGTGAATATAATTAGGGAAAGAGAAAACATAATTACATGCTTTACAGGAAAGGTTCCAAAAACATGGAGTGGAAAGCTAGCATCTGATGCAGTGTTGCAGTATTTCTACAGCAGAAACGCAGGTGCAGCTTTTGAAAACAAAGGAGTTATCATCCTATTAACAAGAGAAGGAAAAAGATCAGGAATGACCAGGAGTTAAACACTGAGAGCACAGAGCATCCAGCTGATGGGAAGCATCAGGGAGCTGGAGCTAACTCGGTGCAGACCGAAGCGCGGCAGGGCAGGGTCCGTCCTGTCACACTGTTCCAAGTGAGCAGGTGTGCCCCCTGCAGGCTGTGCGACCTGCGAATAGGATTTCTTCAGTTTACACTCAGATTCTCATTCTCCAAAATATTTCCGGGAAGTAGAGCAAATGCCTTCATGAAGCAAAGGACTGGGCTCACAGTGAGGTAATGAAACTTACTGCCTTTCCCTAAACAAAAACGTTGCAGGGTTATCCTCTTTCTGTTTTGGCTGTTCAGGATTATCAAAGAATTTCCATAAAGAGACAAAACAAATATCTTCGGTAAGCAAATTGAGTTTTCAGAGAAACAATGTATGGACATAAAATTATTGTATACTTCTTGTACTTCAGAGTTTGCAGTCCTTCCAAGATAGGCAAATATAAAGAATCCACCCTGCTCCATAGGAAACAGCAGATAACCCGGGAGTGAGACCTGAGGCAAACAGAAACTGCACCTGAGATTTTGGGGCAGGCAAGGAACTGGAGGAAAACAGTATTGCAGCCACTACCTGAGCAAACCCAGGGAACCAGGATTAGCATGCACCCCAGGGCAAAGCGAGGTGCAAAACTTCAGATCTTTTCAAAGTACACAGGTGATTGGGATGAAAGGGTGTGTATGAAATAATCTGTTAACACTGAATTTCCTTTTGACACATAGAGATAAAAAGGCCCTCCTAGATTGTGAATATAATTCACAAATTAAATAATTATTTATGAAAACAAGCTTTTTATGAAGAATGCATTCCCCCTCTGTCTTTCCTTCTGCCTCATTCCTGCTGGCTTGTTTTCTATTGAAGCTGTTTTTGAGTTGCTCATCCCATGTTCTATTAACATGGTTGCAAAAAGAGATATAGCAGTTCCTCTGAGCTGATAGTTCTGCTTATGTGCTCTTTTGTAAACCAAGGCACACGATCAAATCCCAAGGTGTTGTTTGGTAGCTGTGATTCTTTGCTGAAATTTTCCCTTGGTAACTGTGTTGGGTGACGTGAGATCTTTTCTAAACTCCCAGTTGTTTGCTTAACGCAGTGAGTTTTTCTAATCTGTACAAAATGTAACTTTGTCTGTCTTGTGGCAAAAAACATTTCTAATATCTACTATCC